TCGTCAGTAAAGCCGCTTCTGGTGATTAGTAGTAAATCTCCAGCATGTGCTTTCAGATGGAGCGGCATTTACTACACAGAGCCGTAGTTCACTGACAAGCTACGCAAAATCGCATTCAAAATAGGCAATGAATCGCCGCGACTTTGTGTAGCTTGTCAGTGATCTACGGCTCTGTGTAGTAAATGCCGCTCCATCTGAAAGCACATGCTGGAGATTTACTACTAATCACCAGAAGCGGCTTTACTGACGAGATGCGCATGAAAATCGCATTCGATTTTTTTTGCCCAGCCTTATGCACACCTAAATGCTCACGAAGAAGAGCGCTTGTGCTTTCAGCTGAGTCATGTAAGTGGTTATGTACTTGCACCTCAGCTTTTATGCTTTTATGACGTGAGATTAAAGGGTTAGTTCACCCAAAAATGAAAATTCTGTCATTAATTACTCACCCTCGTGTTGTTCCAAACCTGTAAGACCTTCGTTCATCTTGACAGAATTTTCATTTTTTAAACTGTATGAATGATTATTTAGGTTCGAGTGGTGCATGTGCAAGGAATTGTAAGCACGCAGAGTACAGCTGTTTCTAAAGCACGCAGTGCCATCTGCTGTTACAAACTAAGCTCAGAATCAATTCAAGAGAGAATCACCATGCATTTGGAAAATCTCTGAATTGATGCAGAATCATTTCTCGATTCACGATGCATTGATTTATTGTCCCAGCCCTAGTAGATAGACATTATAAAACAGTTCTAGAAGCTTCTGTGGCTTATTGCTTTACTTTTTGGACATTCTGAATATTTTCTTCTGTATTTTGTCTCAGTTCCCTCGGCAAGGCATGCAGCAGACCCAGCAGCAGCAGCAGACCGCAGCACTGGTCAGACAGCTCCAGCAGCAGCTCTCAAGTATGCTTCAATATTTACATTACTCCGTTTCAAACAGACATGACACACTGTTGTGTTTTTGCTTTATATACATTGAACTCCAAAAGTGTTCAAATGCTCATGGCAGGAGATTGGACAATATCAACATCTTGCAGGGCTGTCCCCTAATAGTCAATTAAATGTTAGTCAAATTTGGCTTATGATTTGTAAGTGAAATATGTTAGTAGCAACTTAACTCAGCTGCTCACTGTAACGTTAACCTAGATAAATGTGTGCTGTTTGGCACATATCCAAGTGTTTGAGTGAAAGCTATTAACGTGCGACTGCACTGGCATTGTTTTCTGGTGGAGACAACTTGAAAATGCTGTCATTTTTGCTCATGCAGATAAGAGTAATATGATATTCAAATTTTTGGAGATGTACCTGTATAGGGCCCTATGAAATGAAATGCAATGCATTTTATTTTTTTCCCAAATTCTTTTATGAATTTTTTTTAAATATACATATTTATATATATATTTCACTTCAATGGTTACATTTAAGTTTTTTAATCAAAAGCTATTGTCTTGAAATCATAAAACTTTTTTAATAGCAATTTATTCTATGCAATGTTTTATTTTACAATTTGTTTGTCCTGGTAAGCAAATGAAGGCATAAAACATTCATTTAATTCTTCTTGTAATCCAATGAAAATTAAACCCTTCCAGTTTTTGGCAAACAAAGTGCTGCACAACAGGTGTGCTGTTAAAATTGTGTGATTATTCCTTAAAAAAAAAAAAGTTTTAATAACCATCTTATTAGTAGTAGTAGTATTAAGAAATACATTATGTTGTACAAAAGTAATATATTTCTGTCACAATTGTATCAAGTTAAACGTAACTTTTATTATGACGAGTTGCCGAGAAGACCTTTAAGTTTCTGTGAGTATATGATATGACAGTAGTTTTTCTGAAATGAAACTATCAAATGCTTATGAAGTGACTCGTTTGTTTGTGTATTATATGTCAGTGTTTTGGCAATGCTGTGCAAGTCATGCCAATGAAGCTCACTTGAATTAAATAGAAAATCTGTGCCATTAATTCACTCAGAGACATGCAGGATTCATATTTAAATAGTTTTTTGCGGTTTAGTGTTTACAGACTCATTCTGATTCGATTTATTCATTCAAAAATTGGCAAATTATGTGACATTTCGCATTATACAGAAAAATCTATTTTTATGACTGGATTTTGCAATTCCGTCCATGTTTCCTGCATTGTGGAAATCATAGGGCCCTATATGTAAGTATTCAAATTAATATAAACATGCAACTAGTAGTCGTTTAAGCCACCAGTCGACTAGAAAAATCTTTAGTTTGGGGGCAACCCTAGTATGTTCTAAATTCGTACTTTTTATATTTAATTGTGCTGTTCTTTATCAATGCAAAGTCATCAATATTTAAACATTTGTCCTTTTGTTTATTGAAATGACGTTCAAATGCTTATGAAGTGACTCGTTTGTTTGTGTATTATATGTCAGTGTTTTGGCAATGCTGTGCAAGTCATGCCAATGAAGCTCACTTGAATTAAATAGAAAATCTGTGCCATTAATTCACTCAGAGACATGCAGGATTCATATTTAAATAGTTTTTTGCGGTTTAGTGTTTACAGACTCATTCTGATTCGATTTATTCATTCAAAAATTGGCAAATTCTGTGACATTTCGCATTATACAGAAAAATCTATTTTTATGACTGGATTTTGCAATTCCGTCCATGTTTCCTGCATTGTGGAAATCATAGGGCCCTATATGTAAGTATTCAAATTAATATAAACATGCAACTAGTAGTCGTTTAAGCCACCAGTCGACTAGAAAAATCTTTAGTTTGGGGGCAACCCTAGTATGTTCTAAATTCGTACTTTTTATATTTAATTGTGCTGTTCTTTATCAATGCAAAGTCATCAATATTTAAAAACGTCATTTTCTGTATTTAAATTACGTTTTTGTTTCCCTAGGTACTCAACCTGGACAGAACACCAACTCATATTTCTGAGAGCGTCTGAATGCATTTCACCAGTGGTAAAGAGTAGTTGTGTCCACGTTAGCGGATTCTCTGCTACACGGAGCTTTCTGAGAGAAGAACAGAATCTGAAGTAGAGTTGTGTAGACTTGTATTTCTGAACGTCATAGAGGATTCATTCCGAGGTGAACCATGGAAGAGTTTATGTAAAAAGAAGTACAGGAAATTATAAGAATATTGCAACCTTTTTAATTTTATTTCAATTTGTACAATTTTTCAGTTCCGTGTGTTTCTCATTAAAAAAAATCATGTCAGTTTTTATGCCTTGTCGTACATTGTATAGCGTGACCTTAAATCACTGTCTGCTTCAGTTTCTGTGCAACCCCAACAGCATCGTTATATTTGATTACTGCATTAAATCATGCTAAGGTTCAAGAATTCATTACGATTTTGACTCGTCTTTTTGGGGAGTCTTCTGTTTCACCGTTCTCCTCTCCAGACGACTAAACAACACTCCCAAATCAAGACCCAGCACTCTTCCTTCCAACCCACACTCTCGTCCTTCATGTCTCATCCGAAAGTTAAAGGGGTCATATGATGCTATTTTAAAGATCATTATTTGGTGTATTTGGTGTAACAGAATATGTTGAC